TGTCAGGACCTAATTTAAAGAATGTTTAAATAATACCCGCTTTTTTTGGAACTTGGAGAATGAATTAACAGGAGATAAATGATAACTGACATCCATTAAAACATGGCACGTGGAACTAGAACAGTTTACCCCAATGAGCGAAAATAAAGTGTTCAGTTCGACATTCCAACCACCTGAAGAAGACCCATTTACTCAAAAAAACAACGGCCGAAAAACGTTGTAATAAATATGGCGAGAAAGATGAGGATAATAGTCCGAATTATGTAAATGGTGACATAATACCTCATCTCAGAAATATAGACAGATAATGAAGGATCGGATAAATATGGCAACAAAGATGAGGACAATAGTCCGAATAATTTAAATAGTGTACATAATACCTCATTTCAGAAATATTGACAGGTACTGAAAGGCCGAAACGTTGTAATAAATATTGCGACAAAGATGATGACAATAGTCCGAATAATGTAAATAGTGTACATAATACTTCCTCTCAGAAATATAGACAGATACTGAAGGGCCGAAACTTTGTGATAAATATGGCGACAAAGATGGGGACAATTGTCCGAATAATGTAAATAGTGTACATAATACCTCATCTCAGAAATATAGAGAGATACTGGAAGGCCGAAATATTGTAATAAATATGGCAACAAAGATGAGGACAATAGTCCCAACAATATAAATAGTGTACATGATGCCTCATCTCAGAAATATAGACAGGTATCACAAGAGAAATATCAAAACATTTACTGGAAGATAATCGCCTGCATACGTTTGGTCCTGGGTATGACGATATACTACATTCGGTAGGCCTCTGATTGGGAGGTTGGAGGTTTTGTACGGGTGTGAAACTACCTCTTAATTTCTGTTGTTCCCAGGTCCATCCTGACCTGGCGTAGTAGGATCCCTGCTATACGAAAATAGTGAACCTCCAAACAAATACAAAACGCTATGAAAATAAACGTGCTAAGAATATATATATATATATATATATATATATATATATATATATATATATATACTAAAAATAACAGCGATATATTTTTATATGGAAAAAAAATGGTTAAAAAACAAAGCGCATTTGATAAGGTCCGACAAGATCTATTTGAACTGTTAGGAAAACTTTATTTCGGAACGATCTTAGAATAAACTGAATAATTTATTAGCAATAAATTGCCTTTATCCGGATGGAAAATAAAATTAGCAAGTACTTAAAAATCGAAAAGGATGCTTTTTCTCACTGTATTTGTTTTATTCTCACAGAAGAGCAAATCCTAAGGAAACTACATTTCCCTACCAGGATTTATTATTGGTGGGTACAACCTTGTGAACATGAGAGAGTTAGATGACACCGCATTCATGGCAGAATACTAAATAAAACTTTTTTTTCCCTTTTTAAAAAAATATCTTAAATTTTCTCCCTTATTCTTTATCTCTCTCTCTCTCTCTCTTTCCTCTCCCCCCATATAAAAATCTTATTTTAAAATCTATTTTCCCCTCTTTCTGAATCTCTTTTCTTTTCTTTTTTTTATCTTTCTTTTAACCCTTTTGTGATTTCTTTTTCTTGTCTTCTTTTTTTCGATATTTTCTTTTCTGTTTTCGTTTCTTTTTTTCTTTTTGGCTTGTGTCTAGGTGAATTTAAAATCCATTGATTTTTCTAAAAGTTTTTCGTCTGTAGAGATAGGATCCCATAAAATAAATAATTACCAAAGGATTTCTAAGGACTGCGCTTTCATTATTATTATATATAATATGGAACTGTATCATTCCTGTCGCATTCCTCTCAAAAAGAAAAAACATCATTTGTTCCGAAAAACCAATTTTCAGCACATATGATTTGATTATAACGGTGAAGACTTTATGCAGAACCAACCACACATTTTGAAGAGACCTGGTGCACTACGTGCCACAAAGTCCCTAAGGTTTTGAATTCAGAACTGTATTCTACTAGTCCGGTTTCCAAGTCTGTACTTTTATTTACCCATAGCTGGAGGGAAAGAAAATGGATTTTTTGTTTTCCCAATGGTATTTTACGTAAGAATTGAATGTAATGGAATCGACTGGAATTCGAACTCGGCTCTCTGATTCCTCAATCCGAGCGGCTATCCATTACTCCACAGTGCCTCCTTTTTATTACAAATTATAATAAATTGAGCCAGCCAAAAGTTGTGCCACATTGTGACAGTTTATTAAAAGTATAATTACACATAAAAAATGTTATTTACTAGTTATATGTGCTGTTTAAAATGTCTTCCTTCTTTTTCAAAGGCCATTTCAATTCTGTGCCTGCATGATTCATTGACATGTCGCAGAGTTTCCTCTGCCATTTCACTGCATTTTTATTTAATATTCTTTGTTTAAGTTCCTCAATATTTTGAGGGTGCGTCTGATATACAATCTTTACTACTTTTTCAGCCATCTTACTTCGTCAAATTTGTTTCTGCAAAATAATATACTATTTAAACAGATTAGACATTTAAAACATGATTAATTAATTAATTAACTTTTACATATCTGTAAAACTTTTTTTTTTTAATATATATATATATATATATATATATATATATATATATTTATATAAAAAATAAATTTCTTAAAGTCAACATTTTCATAAAATTTTCAAGTCTGTTTCATTGTTTAACGATGAATCGTCAAATTTATATATATTTCGTTTAACATAATATATACCTTCAAAGAAATATATATATTATTTTCATAAAGTTTTTTTGATATATTCTCTGATATAAACATTTTATAATGATAAATATATATATATATATATATATTTTTTTATATATATATATATATTTATTTATTTAAAAAGTTTAAATAAATATGTTATAAAATCATTACCAAATAGCCATGGCTATTTTTGTAGTGATTTTATAACTTATTTATGTTCTAAATTCTTTTTGAATAAATAATTATATCTTCTCTACTTTGTATTGAGCACTGTTTTAAGAATAGTAATTGTTGGTTATTGGAATTCATTCCGTATACACCAATTATATATATATATAATTAAATGACAATTGGAAAAAAACGTTTAAAAACATTTACTGTATAACTATGTCGAGAGCGTTTACCCAATTTTTTAACATATATATGTTTTATTAGGGCACCTCGGCATGGTGTAACGGTTAGCAAGCTTGTCTTGCTAGGTCAGTTACTACTGAAAAGTGAGTTCGATCCTCACTGGATGCCCCATGCTTTTGGCCTTGTGCCACATCTAAGTTACGCTTAGAAAATCAATATATATGTTTCATTGAAGACGGCAGATAAGGTACTACGATTAAACTTTTTATTTAATTTTTCTTGTGTTCAAACAAGTGTTTTTTTGGAGGGTGGTGGCACTGTGTGTAGAAACTGTCCAAATGTTCTATAATTCTGAGCGCTTTCGGCTATACTTTTAGCCATTATCAAGGATGATGTTATCTTTACTTTTTAACTGGATGTATGGCTTGTGTGGATGTTTCTAGAGTTATAGGGATGTTTTATTTTTCGAACACAATCAGTACATTGTGGCCGTGTTCCTAATTAATATTATTGACTGTTGGCTTTTAATTTTTTAGGATTAAGGCTTCCATTATTTTTTAAGTTTTTCTTTTTTCTTTTCTTTTTTTTTTTGACACGTGAATGAGGTTAAAATGTTTGTATTTTCTACTAGTAGCTCTCGAAACATACACCCACCCCAAACATCAAGTTAAAAATAAAAATAAAATCATCCTTGATAATGGCTTAAAGTATAGTGTCCAGAAAAGAAAACACTTGTTCGAACACAAAAAAATGAAAAATAAATAAAACGCTTAATTGCACTACCTTGTTAGTTGTCTTTAATGAAACATGTATAAATGAAGGATTGCTGCCTAAATACACCATATATATATATATATATATATATATATATATATATATATATATATATACACACACATACTATTTACATTATTCGGACTATTGTCCTCATCTTTCTCGCCATATTTATTACTACGTTTCGGCCGTTGTACGCTCCGACCTTCTTCAGGTGGTTGGAATGTCGAACTGAACCCTTGTTCTTCACTGCCTTAACCGGGTATTGAACTTACACTGTTTGGGTCATGTCACTGGATCTAACCAACGCCTGTATCCACTGTGCAATGTGTCATTGAGGATCGCAAGAGCGTGAAACCCAGGGTCACAAACTCACATCAATCCAACCAAATATATATATATATATATATATATATAATTATTTATTTAAAAATATGATTCCAACGCTACATAAGAGATCTCATGTTTCAAAACAAGAGCCGAAAACTTCAATATAATTATTTGAATTAAATTGAATTATAGTAACAAGCTCTATTCCATCTTCTTGCGAATTTTTTTTTCTGAAGTTTGAACAGAGCTTGGTACTTTAATTCAAATAATTATATTGAAGTTTTCGGCTCTTGTTTTGAAACATGAGAACTCTTATGTAGCGTTGGAATCATATTTTTAAATAAATATTAATAATTATATTTATGCTCTACTTTTGTATCGAGTACTATTTTTTAAAAATAATAACAAAAATACTAAAGAACTTTGGATTATTTACCTAACGAATTCTTTCCTACTTTCTACATATTTTTATACACACACACACATATATATATATTTGCATGTCTTACACACACTATTGCATGGCTTCCACATATACACGTGAGTGGGTGTGTGTATTGCAGATCTCCCCCACACACATAGAATCTATTGCATGTCTTTTAGAGTAGTAGCCCTTCTTAAAAGACGAAAATAGTGGAGGTAGAGAGGGTGAATGCCTTTTGTACCAGACTACCATCATGCAGTCATTCTAGAAAATCAGCATTAAAACTAAAAGAGTCTTTTTTTACATTTTAATTTTTATATATAAACCAGGGCGCGAACTCTGGCACCGGCGAAAATTACCTGACTTCCTGATAGCCAAAGGGTTAGGCGTTTGTCTTTCTCTCATGCACGTACTTCGCCGTGTAAGGTTTGATATGTTTTTACTACACACTCACGAGAAAGCAAAAGAAAGAAAGACAAGAGAAAAACAGTGGGAGAGAAAGGATATGGGGAGGGGGAATACGGTTCTTTCTTCCTCTCTCTCTCTGGTTTTGTTTAATTCCCTCTCTGTACGCTTATTCGATTTCTTTCTTTTGACCTATCTCACTTCCCTCTCTCTACGAATTACCGTATCTCTACGCCCACTTCAGTCGCGTACTTGTTGTCCACCACCCCTATCGCTCTCCTTTCCCCAACTTCGAAGTCTGGATCAACTTTTCTATCCCAGCATTCCACGCGAGCATCAGCAGCAGTGCTTGTAAAGAAAGAAAGAAAGAAAGAAAGAAGAAAAAGTAATTAAAATAAAAAAAAAAAAAGGAAATAACGAAAGAAAAAGAAAGTAACAAGATGACTTCACTCGCCTGAATGAAGTGAAATAACACTGTCAAAGCGAGTAGTAGTAATACCAGCAGCAGCAGCAATAATAATAATACTACTAATATTATTAATAGTAATAATCTGTCGACGTTTAAGTCTTACTTGTTGCTTAGTCGGTCTCTTAAAAAAAATGTTTTAGTTTTAAGAGTACTATGACTTCATATACTACGGAAGACGACGAACAAGTAGTACCTACCCCTCGACCTGAAGAAGAGGCAACCCTCTATTTTGCGGGGGTCGCAAACCCAACCCTTTCTACAGCTACAACTCTTTCCTCTGCTTTCAAAAAGTGATTCAAATAGTTGTCATTACAGTCGCCGTGGTCTACGCACTTACCGCGTCTCGGGGAAAAAAAAAACAAGACAACTCCAGTCGAAGGAGTGTGAGCAACATGTCGCCGCCGTTCGTGTCTTCTTTTTCTTTCTTTTCTTCCTTTACCCAGGCTGGATTATTTCTTTTTCTACTTACCCTAACCCTCGGACCGGACTGCGGCCTGCTGGTGATCGCGTCTGACCAGAACTACGGTCCAAGTTACGGCCTGTATGGACCCGGTCAGTACTACGACTACGATTATAATTCGCCGGGGCAACCGGAAAATTATGCTCCATTACCGCCTTTATTACCGAAAAATCAAAACGGGGATGGCGTAAACGGAGCTGAAACGTGTTACGACCATCGTGGGGTGGCCAGAAAATGTACCCCGGAATTTGTAAATGCGGCCTTTTCTTTACCGGTCGAAGCCACCAACGTTTGTGGGCTGCACCAACCACAGGTGTACTGCTTGCAAGTTGGGGTCAGGGGGGCTTCGAAATCGTGTCATTTTTGCAATTCGAAGGACCCTAAATACGACCATTCTCCAAATCTCATGACGGATTACGAGGGACAAGGGAATTGGACCTGGTGGCAGAGTGAGACTATGCAACATGATGTTCAGTATCCTAACTCAGTTAACCTCACCTTACATCTTGGTAAGTGTCCTTGTTGTGTTTAAATTTCTTTATTCCTTTATTTTACGGACCTTGAATTAGGAACCTATAAAAATTTCAACAGCCGTATTGAAGTGTCGTCTGGAATTAGGTGTTTTTTATTTTCTTCTAAGTGAAAAAAAGAATGTTTTTTGTTTCGACGTCTTCGTCTTTTGCTTAAGTAAGACCAGATCGCCTAAAAGTAAACTATAGATTAAAACACAAGTTTCGTGTTTTTAAATTATCCTTACCAAGAAATATACATTCCACCCACACATAGAAAAAAATAAATAAATCCTAAATAATTGTTAGAATTTTTTTTTATTATTATAAAAAAAAAATGTGTTGCGGAGGGGAAGGAAAAGTTTTCTTCCCTTTGTTATTCAAAAAGAAAGCCTAAATAGCAAAATCCTTTGTTCCAATACACCTCGTTTCGAAATCAAAGCCTCATGTGCTGCTAAATTTCTTCATTTTCCATAGTTTTGTTTGAGTTTCGACTCTGACAAATCGAGGAAGTTGTCTTAATAAAAAAAATAAACGTATGCACACAAATAATAAAATGCATTGTAGCTTTTATTTTTTTTGTTTAAAATTTTAAAAAGTTTTTGAATTAACCTTAACAAAAATTGTCCAATCTCTTCCCTCCCCCCACAAAAAAAAAATCCTAAATACAACACCACGAAGTCAATAGGTTGAGGGGTTAAAATCAGATGTTAATTTTTTACATTCTTGATTCTAAATTTTTCATCTGTTCCTCATAAAAAATAACACACACACTATTTTTTAAATGCACAATTTTTATTTTTGCTATTTCATATTTCTGGGAACGAAACATGATAAACGCTTCCGCATATAAGATTTGAAATAAAACTTGATAAATTTTAAATTAAAAGCTAATGCTTCGGAAACGGACTTAACAATGAAGTTAACAGATTTATTTTGCAAAATATTGACCGTAATGATTAAAAATCATCTCCTTTCGGTAGTATTGTTGTAAGGATGAATTTAGTTCTCAGTTTCATCAAAAAAATGACAGTGGGTGGCTTACAAACCTGCCCTAGAGCTGTGGATGAAATAAACTTTCAAATAAGTATTTTCAGTACGTAAGTTATATATATATATATATATATATATATATATATATGAAGACGTGATAAAAATGGGCTTGTTCGTAGTCTGCCCTCCACAACTATTTTTTTCTTTGGTTCTTCTTCTTGTTCCTTCTTCCTGTAGTGGGTTCAATTTCAGCTGTCAGGCGATTTTCTAACCACATATATACAAACAGTAAACACTTTTGTTGATACAAATAATTAATTTTTATGTCGTTTGTTGATATGACAGTGCCTCGAGCTGGGGACTGGGTAACGGACTTTTTAGTTGAAGTAAAAAAAAAAAAAAGTCAGGATACAAGTTCTATTTAAAAAAAAAAAAAGTTTTTACAATTATTCAACCAAAACTTTTGTTTCTAAGGAATTTTATCTTAGACTTTCGCAGCTGAATCAAAGCATTTTTGATCTTTTCAAGTTTTACACGATAAAATGAAAATAAAGCTTTCGTTGAAAACCCTTTTTTTTAATGTACACTTTTTTTTCCTCGTAAAGTTCGTAATATGAAGCTAAGTAAAAAAAAATTTTTTTTTTTTTTTTTTAACACTTGTTACTTTTTAACCGGATTCAAGTAATTATAAGTAAATTAATTTTTAATTTTTTTTTTTGTTTTATTTTTAACAGTTCAGTTTAAGTTTCTTAAACGCATACTTTTTTTTAACGATTTTCTGCTTCTTTTTTTTTTTTTTTTACCTTCTCTCATATGACATTTTTTTTATTTTTATTTTTTTAATCTCTTTTTATAAGAGGGGAAACACCTGAAATTGTATAAAAGAAAAAAAAGAAATTGTTTGTATGTGAAGAACTTGATGAATGTGTGTGTTTTTTATTTTATTTATTTTTGTAAAATGATTTCTCTGTACTTCCTGTAGTAGAGTGTGAGATATAAAACTTCACAGCGATTGAGGTTATTTTTAGGTTGTCGCTTTTTAAAAACGCGTAGTATTTGGACCTTGGTGCTTGCCATTTTTTATATATATATAAAAACGACAAATTAATGGAATACGAAATGGGTTTTTTTTTCTCTTACCAAAGTTTGAGTGCAAAGAAATTGTTGCAAGCAAAAAGGTAGTGATAATTTTCTCTCACTGACCGGTTGAGTTTTCTTAATTTTCGTTTTAAGTCATAGAAAATTATACGGTCAACGGAGGTTGGGGGGTGGTGGTTGAAAATTACTAATTTCACAAAAGTAAAACTAACCAAATACCCTTTCTTTTTCTTTTTTTTCTTTTTCTTTTTTCTTTTATTTATTTATTTATTTTTTTAATTTTTTTTTTTTTTTTTTTTTTTATTTTTATTTTTTTTTTTTTTACTTTTCTTTTTTTTTTTTTTTTTTTTTCCTGCATGCCTCATACAGGGTTAAGTTTTTCAATATATACGGTACGCTAAAAGACAGAAACCTGAATTTTGAGAATTCTGTATTTATTTTAATCTCTGAGTATTTTCACCCTCTTGCTTCATCTTCCTAAAGGAAGTTTTTTTTTTTTTTTTTTTTTTTGTCATTTAGGTTAAAGCCCTCGCCGATCCCTTTACTTTTTAATAATCCCTAAGGATGATCGACGTCGTTGAAAGTACTCGAACGAAGAAATACTAAAATACATGTGCACTGACGAACTAAGAAAAATTTAATGTATTGAAGCAAAATATTTTTGTCTTCAGTAAAACATAAAATATACTGCCAGAATACACACACACACACACACACACACACACACACACACACACACACACACACACAGTATAAACAATCATAATTGTGCGAACATGTTTTTATTTTTATTTTGCTTATAATCTCGTGGTGGGTAACTGCACGGAATGAGAAAACGAAATGCCGAGTTCGAATTCCAGTCAAGTTCGTTATATTCACTTGTGAGTAAGTACCCTTGGGGGAAGGTATGATGAATCCATATCTTCACTATTGATTAAATAGTAGAGGCGGACTATGCTCTTCAGCCTTGGTTGGTAACCAGTCTAGAAGGGCAACTCTGAATTCAAATCCCGTTTGGGGTGCAGGACCTTGTAGCACAGTATTTACGCTAGTCAAGTCGGTAGTCCAGCTCCTGCCAAACACGTTGTAGCATGGCTTGCGTAACATTCTCCAATTCCTCAGTGCGGACTTATCTCAATGAGAATCTACCAGGAAAATGGATCGGGCGTGCCAGTGATAATGACAGTGTGTTGTTGAAATGGCCACCGCATTCACTTGACTGACTTGTGATTTATTATTTTCTTCCTATGGAGCTAAGCAGAAGAACAGGTCTATATCGCCCACTTCGTACAAGCCTAGAGGAATTTAAGCAGAGAATGACTGAAGCGCTGGAGAATGTTACGCACGACATGCTACAGCGTTTTTGACAAGAGCTGGACCACCGACTTGACGTGTGTCGTGTTACAGGCGGTGCGCATATTAAACATTTATGAAGCTTTGTAAAATCGGTTATAAAATCTACATTCCTTTCGAATATTTTGTTCTAATTTTGATAAATAAATATTTTATTGTTCAACATGAGGCCTATTTAATTTCGTTTGCCTGGAACATGTAGCTACTCAGATATACACATTTTCAATGTCATTTTTTGTGGGTGGGGACACTATATTTTGGTGAAATAGATATTAAACTAAGATACAAATTGTAAGTTTTATAGTTCGCATTATTCAGAATAAAGTGTTAAGATATTTTCCGCTAGAAAACATGTTTGACTGCCCATCCCTCCGAATATTAGAAAGCAAAAAACAAATAAAAAATCTGTTCAATTTTTCTTTGCTTGCAGAAAATGGTGTCATCTGTTTTTTTGTATAACTTTTAGTTTACTTGCATGGCAAAATGTAATTAGAATAAACCCTTTTCGAATTTAGGGACTTCTCTCCTGGTATCCACTGTTTGAGTGCCAAATCTGTATTAGGGTAAGGGGAAAATAAGTTCATGCCTTTGTCTCACAACACCTTCATGCCTGTCGAAATTCCATTATCGGCGTACTTTGTTGGGGAGGCCGCGTATTATCGGCGTACTTTGTTGGGGAGGCCGCGTATTATCGGCGTACTTTGTTGGGGAGGCCGCGTATTATCGGCGGGGGGAGGCCGCGTATTATCGGCGTACTTTGTTGGGGAGGCCGCGTATTATCGGCGTACTTTTGTTGGGGAGGCCGCGTATTATCGGCGTACTTTGTTGGGGAGGCCGCGTATTATCGGCGTATTTGTTGGGGAGGCCGCGTATTATCGGCGTACTTTTGTTGGGGAAGCCGCGTATTATCGGCGTACTTTTGTTGGGGGAGGCCGCGTATTATCGGCGTACTTTGTTGGGGAGGCCGCGTATTATCGGCGTACTTTGTTGGGGAGGCCGCGTATTATCGGCGTACTTTGTTGGGGAGGCCGCGTATTATCGGCGTACTTTGTTGGGGAGGGGGAGGCCGCATCGAGTCGGCACGCTTTGATTATGGCTCTTCATAACTTCCTGTCTTTGTTGCTTAATGTCATTATTGCCGCTTTACTATCGGTCTGTTCATGTCCATTCGCACAATGATCTGTGCGTGTCAAATTTTCGAAGCTTTCTTTCCTCACTGTGTGATACAGAAAACTCGGCTGCTGTTTTTTTTTCTTAAGCATTTCACCCCAAGCAAGGCGGAGATGCCACTAGCACGCAAGGTTGAAGATTGTAGTTGTCAGGGAAGCAAGTAAGAGGAAGGGAGTTCCACTGGCGGGAAGTGCAAGAGAAGCTGTTGAAGTAGAAGAGGCGATTACATTTAACTGTTTCAACAGTGAAAGGGTGGGACCGAGATGCCAGCTTAGTGGCATACTTAATTTTATGGAGTTGGGGTATCAGTGACGGTCAGAGCAGTTTCCATGGAAATATTTGTAGAAAAGACAGACGGAAGCCGCATCACGTCTGTGAGAAAGTGACTGTAGACGAGATGCCAGATCAG